TGGAATGGGTGGGCTCCACTCCATCAGAATTCGGCGAACGGGTGCGCTTAACACACATTCTCGAATGCTCTCGATGGCGATATCCGTATGCCAAATAACAGTGGGTGTAACTCATTTGGCGCCTCTACTCACTTCGGATTCGTTTAGGTCGCAGATGCCTTAGGAAGGTGTCAGCTTCCGCGTTCGCTGGTGCGATTCCAAAGTGTGAAATTGCGAGTGGGAAGAGGCGCATGCAAATCGGTAAGGATCACAGCGACACCACTAGCGACTGCAAAACGTGGAAAGCCGATGTCAGACTTTGCTGAATCGTGCGATTCGCTACCAGGCGATTTCTGACATCGGCCGAAGGCAGCCATATTACGAATTCTACACATGGCATCAGGTAGCATCAAAAGCTTCAAAAGGCATAGATAGCTCTTTTTGAAGTTGTTGCCACCTGTGGTACTGTTTCTGTAATTGCGACACGTATCTCATCAGGAAACAGCGGGCGCTATCGTAAGATAACCGGCATTATTGGTGGCAATGCAATTAGACATAAATTATCTTCTTCCTGATAAAAGAGGGAAGCCTTAGGCAGGTCAGTAGAGACTCCAGGGTTTGCCGACATTGTCTTTCCCTCGATGTTCCTATCCCTCCTAGTCTTAGATTAGGAGATGCCCCGTATGTTGCGATAGCGACACGGGCGTATTCCTCTTTATAAGCCCTTTTAGTCGTAATGAGCTGACGATTTTTTTTTGCCAAATAATTTGCCCACAAATCTCTAGATTCTACTTCGGAAAGTCTTCTGCAGAATATAGGAGGAACAGCTTTCGTTAGACGTCATTATCTTACTGCTCGCCTATTTTCTCTAGAAGGAATGAATACTAAAAGATGGATCATTTGGTACTGCAACAGGTATAGAAAAGCTCTCTCAAATAAAACGCAAAACCACGTAATTCTCATACGTAACCGGTCCAAGCTGATAAGCTGATAAGGGAAAAAAGGTAGCCCAATATCGCAGCCATTGTTCCATTCTGCGCCTACGATGAAAACCGTGATACTCAGGGGAGACGCCGCGTACGCAGCCAAATTCAAATCCAT